AAGTAGGCCTGCAGAGCGAGAGCGAAGTGCTCTAATAGGGTGATATGGTACTACAAGGTCATTAAGATAAGATGGGGCCTGATTATTTAAGACCTTGTAATATATTCATATGTAATATGAAATGCAAGATTTAACAAGATGGTAGTGAGACTTGTTATGATGCTTAGTTTGGAGATGGTGACACTACAAAAAGACAGGAGGCCAAGGCAAAAGTGCCAGAGCTGAAGAAGTTAAGATTTTTGTTGAGAAGATGGAGAGGATTAGAAATGAGCACGTCAGAGGGAGACCTCAGGTTGAGAACAAAGTTAGAGAGGCAAGGCTGACTTAGACATGTGCAGAGGAGGGAGAGTGGACATATTGGACAAAAGATGTTGAACGTGGAGCTCCCAGGCAGGAACGACTTATTAAGAAAAAAATATTGCTGACAATTTTGAGAATAAAGTCAAAAATGTATTTTGAGAAAAAATTTGAAATACTAGTTTGAGACAGAAGCCAAAGGGTAGAGATTATGGTTGCTGTTTGAAGACAAACTCCCAGGTTGCTATACCTTCTACGAAAAGCCTTGAGTAGAAGGTAGCCTTGAGTTGTTGTAGCAGAAGAACATGCTAGGCCTTTGATATAATGAATGGTGTTTTGAAACTTAAATGGTTAAAATCCTTTTTAAATAATCCTCACTCCATTTGGTTTCTTATACCAAGTAAGGTCTTTAACAAACTGGGGGTATTGATTTTCTCCTAGAATGTGACTTTGAAATTACTAAGTTACCTGTTAAAGTCTCTGAATTCCATAAACAGGTCCTTCTGTATTGGAAAATTATATTTAAACATAATTTCACTCTACATAACAGCCCGATTTGGAACAATAGATATATACTGATGAATAGAAAATCTATTTTTATTCAAGATTGGTTCTAGAAAGGTGTTTGGGCAATTGCTCATTTTGTAGATGAGGAGGGACATGCTCTAGGACATCACGATTTTTGCCAAAAATTTAATATCCAATGTTCTAAAAGTAATTTTAATCGGGTTATAAAATCCATTCCATTGTCATTTAAAAACATAGTCGTAAGTGATATAATATATTTTGACATCTCCCCCAAGTTAAGGCAATTATATATAGATGGTATTCAGTTTGGTTATGATAAAAACATTATTACGTTTCTGAGATCTTCATTAAGGAGTCTTTATTCTCCAAATTTGCTTAGACGTAATTACATATTAAAAGATTATACACTACTTCAACCCTGCTTTACTGGAAAAACAACCTAAACTTGTTGGTTAAATCTTTGACTTTAGTTTAAAAGAAAAGGGCTGCATTCTCTTGTTTCCTTTTCGGAAGATTTTGATTTAGTGAGTTAATACTCTGTTAACTTTTATGACCCCGTCTTTGTGTCTTCTTTTTCTTTGTACAAAGGTTGAAATTTGTATTTTCTGAATGTATAATATATGGTGCATTTTGTTGTATGTTGATTTTGCTAATTTTAAAAAAAAAGGGGAAAAAAAGAACATGCTAGGAAATGGGTGCAATGAAGGCAAATGATTCACTGTCCCGGCGACCAGGCAGCCCAAGAAGAAAATTGCTATGAATATTAATATTAAACTGAATTCAATTTAAGAGATCTTTTTCCATTTTTCTCACCGCCATATTCATCCATGTGGTGTCGCTGTGGGCGCTGGTATAGGCTTCTAGAAGGTCGGAGTTCATTGCGTGCGGAAGTAGCATGTAGTTGGATTTTCTGTATGCCTCTCAAGTGTATGGCTCAACTTAAATTACAACAGCGTGTTTGTTGTGTTTTGCATTTTCGGTTTTTACAGGGGGGCTAAGTGATTTTGGTAGGTTGTGGCTAGTCTGTTATCTTCTGTGCTAGCTGACGTTAGCATGTTGTTGTCTAAAGCGGTGACGTTTTAGGACCCAACTCGTAAAAACCGTAACGTTAACAAATAATAATCAGTAAACAAATAATAATGCGCAGTTTGCACGTAATAGCGTTAAATTAATCACGTTAACCAGATCGCTGTTTAGTTAATTTCATAGCAAAAATACTTTAGCGTTAGCTTTCAGCTAATGTTACATTGAGTTTGCTAACGTTTGTGTAACCGGTAAACACCGTTCCCCAGAAATATGTAGCGTAGTCCTCCTGACACTATTATATTCATTATTATTTCTACAAACTGTTGTCGTTGTGTCACCCTATATGCTCTCTGTTAACTTAACGTTAATGCAGAATAGCTGGTTAGCCGGTTAGCCGTATGAAGTTGTGATGGCGCAAGGGGCTTTATGCTTTAACGTGGTATTTGTTGTGTAATTTTCTTTCTTTCTAATTTTTTAATTTTGTGGCACTGCTGTATAACAAACCAAATGCGAAGGCTAACTATAACGGGTTTTATAATGTTGAGAATGGTTTTTAAACGTTTGGCACGAGGCCTGATTTTGAGCCGATGTTTACCGCAGTTTGATTTTTGGTTTTGGAGGACTACTCATAGCACATGCGCAGTTTAGTTTATTACTTTGAGTTTGCTCCTTATTTATGTTTTATTTGTGTTTTAAGAGAGTTTAATAACTACTAAATCTTTATTTTCTCCCCCCTGCTGCAGCTTCTGTGTCTCTCTGCAGCAATGACCACCATTGTACATGATACCACAGAGGCAGTGTGCCTCTCTGCTGAGTACAACCTGTACCTCAAGCCTATTGCCAAAATGACCATCAGCGTGGCTTTGCCCCAGCTCAAGCTGCCAGGCAAAAGCATCTCCAACTGGGAGGTAATGGAGCGGGTGAAGGCCATGGTGGCTCCCGAGCAGTTTTCAGTCTTGCGAATCTCCAAGAGCACAATGGACTTTATCCGCTTTGAAGGTGAAGTGGAAAACAAAACTGTAGTCAAGAGCCTGCTAAGTCGTTTGGATGGGAAGAGCATCAAACTCAGTGGCTTTACTGATGTACTGAAGGTAAGGGTGAACAAATGTAGAGCATTGCAGTACTTATAATTAGTAACTGCATGGTTATTGGAGTCACTGGAGTTTGTTGTTGCTACTTAAATGTTCTGAATGTTTGTAACTCTTTGTCAATACATTGTAATTTGGCAGCTCAAAGAAATTACCTTGAAAATAAACAACTATCCAAAGGCAAGGCAGCTAGTTCTAAGTATTATAACATTATCTACCATAGATTGATTACAGGTTGAATTTAATTGCACTAATAAACCGACAGCAGAGTATATTTATGTCACCCTCTCATCA